TCAGAACAGATTCCCTGACCCTGACAGAATCTCAACGGATTCTGGCCCCTTATGCCTCCCTTCCCAGACACTGACAGAATCTCTCGGATTCTGGCCCCTTATACCTCCCTTCCCAGACACTGACAGAATCTCTCGGATTCTGGCCCCTTATACCTCCCTTTGTGCTCATGGCACCAGAACAGATGTGTTTATAGCACCAGAACAGAACTTATCATCGGATCCGAAACAGAACTTGTTTTCAGATTTCAGAGCTCATTTCAGATTTTCCCTGACACAGACAAGATCTCACAGGATCCTGACCCCTTATAACTCCCTTTTCATAGCACACAATCATAACATGTCATTTCAGAACAAATTCGGACAATTTCAGAAATCGTACGAAAATCCGGCGGCATAACGACAGTATACGGAATTTACACAAAATTCACCAAATCAGAATTTTACCAAATTACCACAGAACATTCACAACAATATTATAAGACTTTTATTTTACTGCCACAACATTTACAGATATCGTGAAAATTTACAGTCAACAGAAAACTTCCCCAAATCAAAACTATCCGGTCAAAAATCTCCAGAAAATAATCAAAATGTGCGCACTCGGCACCTTAGAAACATATCAAAAGTTACGCGGTAAAAACTAAACCAGTCGAAAAATACGAACAAAATTCGCTAACGAAAACGAAATCCGGACAGAAAACTTGTTCAAACTTCACCGTTCTGAAAATTGAGAAAGGCGGAATGTGCCTTACCTTGCGTACACCAATTTCCTGAACTGTCTAGACGAACGAAAACGGCCTGGCATTGTCCAAAAATAAACTTTTGCACTTTAGCCCTCGACCTTCTCTCTCCTCAAAATGATTTTAAATATTTTTGATTTTTCTCTCTCTTCAAAATGAGCTGATTTCAGCTAAATAATGCTCTGATCGGCCCGGCCGATCGCACGATCGTCCTGGACGATCTGAACAAAATCCAATCGGCCTGGGACAATTTCTCAGGGCGATAATTAATTTCTTGGACGATTTGCTCTCTGACTTGTGCCATGCTATAATCGTCCCGGGACGATCCCAGATCGGCCCGGACGATACCTACAGGAAAACTTTCCTGTAACTTCTGTATAGAATCTGGAACAAAATTTGAACTAATCGTCCCGGGACGATCCCAGATCGGCCCGGACGATATGAGCAAACCTGATGTTACAATATTCGCCCCGTGGCTTATCTTCAAAAAATATTTGATTACTAATCCATTTCTCCAAGACTCCACTTACGACCGAGAAACTTATGAAGCTATTCTCGTTTATCTTCAATGTATCGAAGTTAAACATCATTACAACGACAAACGTAACATAACCTATAGCCGAGCTAACATTCTCAGCATAATTCATCCTAAAGATCGGGGAATCACCCCTTTTCAAATCCAAAAATTTCATATTTCATTACCTGATGGTAATATCAAAACTTGTTCTTTTAATTGTTGGACCTACATTCGAGCTATGCACAAAACGTTTTATATGCTAAATCCTACTCATTCTCATTCTTGAATGTTCATTCTTAATCCCAAAATATTAAACAATCCTATACCCTCTTGGTTTTATCAATGGTGGGAACATAAAGGAGCAATTATTCCTCTTTTACCACCTGAACTGCACTGCAGGCCAGTTATAATATTTGAGTTGATTCATCTCCCCATCTTTAAGTCATGAAAACTGAAGATTTTATCAACGGAATGAGTGAATTTTTCTTTTTTGCCCAAGCACAAATTCCATGGATATGTTCCTGGAATCTTGAATTTAATCAGGAACCCTTAAATATTAAATGTCTCATGCGCAATTTTTCTGTTAAATGGTGGTCCGCCATTATAGTTGATGATAAAAAGAAACAAATTGGTAAGGTAATCCAAATTAACCTTATCAAAAATCAAAGACAACCTCCAGTTGCAGAATTTTCTTTGAAAAATCTACAAAAAATATTTAAACAACATTATCCTCATGAATCCCCTGAGCAAATTAAAGTTAGTCTTCAAAAAGCTTATTTGGAGCAGATGACCCAATTATTTCCTGACGACGAAAAGATGGCCTCTCAACGCTCTGATGATACAATCCCAGACACATGTGACCACCCGTCGCTCAAAGCCTAAGATGCAGGACTAAGTCATCATCCTGGAAAAGCTCCACTATCAGAAGAGACAGAAAACTTTTAATAAAGGAGCTTGACAGGCAGCATAATGGAATCAATAATGCAGCCTTTCTGACGTGTTATATTCTCCAACATAGACGTGGGTTATTAGTCACCTACCAGCTGTTATCAGCCAATATAGTGGAGAATAAAAGTATGTAACTTTTGCTTTAATAATTGTATTACGTTTGCTTTAATAATTGTACTATTTCTTCTACTCGAAGTTTTCTCTTAAACTTATGTCTATAAATAGTCTGTAAGGTGAGCCTGAAAGGGCAACGTTTGTACTGCAAGCTTTGTTTGAAGTAATAAAATTTGTAAGTTTTCTTCTTTTGTCTTTTGTCTTGCTGTTTCAATTCTTAATTAGTTCAAGTTCCAGTTATTTTAAATCGTTATTTTAAAGTTTCCGCAAATTGGATATAATATATATATATATATATATATATATAATTATTTACAATTAGGACATGGTTTATTAAAGCGGAAGAAGTAATCCTCCTAATCAATCAAGAAGCATGAAGTGAATAACGAAAACGGTTGTTTGTAATAGCTAGCGGCAAACAATTTGTTTATGCACAAAGAGGAGAAGTGGGACATCAATTGGGCGTGCGGCAAAAAAGATGAATTGGCAAAGGGACAAGCCATAATAGTTGGAAGATGATATCAACGATGACAATGCAAGAGAAGAATGAATTTGGAATTGATTGAATTGGTATTAATTTCTCAACAAGAAGATGTTTCAAATATACCTCTCATATATTTCCACACCATTGTATACCTTTAAATGTGATTCCTTATGATAATCATAAGCCTAACATATTGTTCTTAAATACAAGTCCAAAATATTTCTTTCTCAATTACCTTGCATTTTACTAAACTTAAAAGATTTTTATTAGACAATATTAATTACCAATCCACTCCAACTCCTATAACTATCAAAATAGAAGTTTAATCTTGATGACTTTATCTCTATCGAGATTCTTAACTTTACACTTTATACATTTAATCATACCAAAATCTATACATCTCATTTCTTTATCAACAAACTATGTTACTTAACCTTCTTTAATAAGTAACCCACCAAACAAATCTCCAATTTCTTACCACCCACTTTCCAAATCTTACAGCTTCCCATTGTATATAGGTTTTAGCAGCTACATCAAGAAACATAGCAAATTATATAACATAAGACTAAATTAATTACCCTACTAAAATAGAAAAATATGTATGAAAATAGTCATGAAATAATGAAAATTTCTTTATACAAACATGTTACCTTGTTTGGTTTGCAGCCTTTTTCATAATTTGGCTTCCACTCACAATCGATGCCAACAACCTTACATCCCTCAATGTAGTTAGTTGCAGTAATTAACCCATTAAAGTCATCAACCCATATGATATTCTCTATCATCAATTTCTCAGGGTCCAAGTAACAAGCTCCAAATGTTGGCCTATCAGAAACTGCACCATTATTTAAAAAAAAAAAAAAAACAATCAGACGATTCATCATATAAAAGATTATATAGAAGCAAATATCAGGGAACAGGAAAACAAATGTAAGGAAATTCTAATAAACAACCAAAATATTTGTGCATTACACCCATATTATGCATATCCATGTAGAAGTAGACTATTACTCTTGGCCAAGTAACAATACATATTATTAGGTTTTAAAAGGACAACAACTAATTTGTCACTTACACTAAAGAAATTATGTAACTTGTCCAAGTGTATGAAATCCCAATAATGTGGCAAAAGAGGGATTAATGCATGCATTCTTACCCCAACATTTACAAAAAAGCTAGGTCTGTGACTCAAATGATCTTCGAATCATAATGTAGGCAGTCAAACAATTGGTCTGGTACTGGCTACTCCAACTAACTGCTTTTTGAATTGCATAATAATAGATTATGGAAGTCACCCCTTTCAATGTCTCACCTCAAGAAAACGAGATAAAATTTCAATAACATTCTTAAATTATTATTTCTTTCAGTTCGCCAATTGAATTTTCTACAATATATAGTCAAATTCTTCATTTTTCATTGTAAGTCTCACTATTTGAGCATCAAAGAAAATTCATGCAAAAATAATTTTAATTATTTTAAGTTCCTGCTGGAATCAATATTGCAATCATAACTTTTTTTATGGGTTACATCAAATTAAGTTAATCTATTAAATACTTGTATTCTACATATAAAAAAAAAAAAAACTTGTATACTAGATATTAATCCATAATATTTGTCTGACTTTGCTAGCATTTTAAATACACCATATTTTTTAAGTATTACTGAGGAAGTAAACTGAATTAATAATTATATATAACTCTCCAATTAATAGTCAGCCCGCATTTTGCAGCAAAAGCATAAAATACAGGAAACTGCACAAAATTAGTAAATTCGGTTTTTAATGAAAAAAACCTAGTTCATAATGTATGCCTGTGTAATTTTACGAGAATTTGAAAGTGAGTGTTTCAGGTATTTTTGGTTTTTTAATTACCTAACTTTTTCCTTATTCCTCGACAAATAGGATCCATTCAAAGGTAAAATCAATGTAGATCACCATGAATCAGAACTAAACAAACATGATACCCATTGGATTAGCATTCATTGCTAAAACTTAACATAAGCATTAGATATAGTTATCATTCTGTCAAAGAGTTCCTTACTTTTGGATGACAAATATTGTTTATACAAAGTGCAAGGTCAAGAAGATGAGCATTTCATCACGAGAAATAAAAAAACTATGACAACTAATAGAGCAGCATTAAACAGTGAAGCACATTCTATACCCGTTAATTTGTCAAAACCTTCAAGAGAGTACCGGTCACATAGTTCAAAAACCTTCTCTGCATAACCAGCTTCCATCGCCAAATAAACCTTCATAGTTGCAGGAGAAAACTAAATTAGTAATAAACTACAGATTGAAGGAACTATAAAACGGATAACAAACAAGACAAACATATAACAATAAAATGTCAAACCGTTACTTTCTAAAGAACCAATTAAATCTTAGATAAAAGACATCTTCATCCTCTATATAATCTGGGAAAAAAATGCATCCTCTCCCGAAACTTTAATATGTAGCAATCATCAGAAAAAAATAATCCACCTAAAAAGAGAATAATTTATGATACTAAACAATGTATGATCTTTAAAACTTTGGGAGAGAGTTATGGAGCATAGGTTATGACGTGATACTAATGTTTCTCAAAATCAATTTGGATACATGCCAGGTAGGTCTACTATAGAAGTTATTCATTTATTGAGAGGGTTGATGGAGAAGTTTAGATAGAATAAGAAGGATCTACATCTGATATTTATTAATTTAGAGAAAGCATGTAATAAAGTTTCAAGAGAAGTTTATGAAGAGTTCTAGAAAAGAAAGGGGTTAATAGTGCTTATATTCAAGTCATTAGGGATATGTATAGGGCTGCAAGCGAACCAAACGTTCGACGAACTACTCGTTGTTCGGTTCGATTAAAGCTCGTTCGTGATCGTTTAATTAACTAACAAACAAACTTGAACAATATTTTAAATACTCGATTCTTAAATAAACAAGCTTGAACACTAATGCGTTCAGCTCGTTTAAACGAACCAAACATGAACACAAATAATAAAGCTCGAATCAAACACGAACCAAACATGAACAAGCTAATGTTAAACAAACACAAACATGAACACTCACATACTCGGCTCGGCTCGGTTCGTTTGCAGCCCTAGATATGTATGCAGGAGCTGTTACTTGTGTTCAAACATAAAGTGATAAGACCAAGTATTTTCCTATTTCAGTTGGATTACATCAAGGATCAACCTTAAGCCCTTATCTTTTTGCTTTAGTCATGGATGTTCTTACTAGACATTTACAAGAGGATGTACCCTGTTGTATGCTATTTGCTTATGATATTCTTCTTGTAAATAAGACTAGAGAGGGAGTTGAAGGTAAACTCGAATTATGGAGATCAACCTTAGAGTCTAAAGATTTTTGTTTGAGTAAATCTAAAACTGAATACATGGAATGTAATTTTAGTAGTGATAGATCTAGTGGTGGGTTTGTGACTTTAAGCGTTCAAGTCATTAATAATTGTACTCGTTTTAGATATCTTGGGTATATTGTTCATAGTGATGATGAAATAGAAGGTGATGTTATTAGTAGAATTTAAGTTAGATGGTTGAAGTGGAGGAATGTTTCAGGTTTCTTGTGTGATAGAAAAGTACCACTCAAACTTGAGGGAAAATTTTATAAGATGGTGGTGAGACCTACAATGCTTTATGGCGCAGAATGTTGGCCATTAAAAGAGAAGCATAATATTAAGTTAAGTGTTGCTGAGATGAGGATGTTCAGGTGGATGAGTGAATTTACTCTTAGAGACAAGATACAAAATGATCATATCCGTGAAAAGGTTGGAGTAGCTCTAGTGACAAATAAGATTAGAAAGAGTCAACTTAGATGGTTTGGTCATGTAAGACGGCGGCCTTCCAATGACTTTGTTAGGAGAGTAGATGTATTAGAGTTGACCTATATTAAGAAAAGTAGAGGTAGACCTAAAAAGAATTGGTTAGAAAATATTAGAAATGACCTTTCATTGCTAGATTTAAATGAGAATTTGACTCTAAACATGACACAATTGAGAACAAGGATTCATATATCCAACCCCACGTAGTGAGATAAAGGCTTCATATTGTTGTTGTTGTTGTTGTACTAAACAATGCATGATGCTTGATAAGAGTGACAAAACTCATCACTCATTTCCACAAGAAAATGTTGCATTTACAGCAAGCTTGTTTTAAGTGCTTCGAAGTGTTTGAATCTCAATTCTAAAAGTGAGTTACATTGAAGTGAGCTACACTAATACAATATTATTTCATTGAAACTTTCTACTTGTGAAATCGTGTTTTAATTTGAATGAATTTCATTTTCATGTACCTTCACATTATTTTTTATTATTTTATTATTATCATAAATAAAATTAACTCTAAAACATCATGTAACGATAGTAATAATACTTCAAATAAAAATAAAGAATAATACAAAAAAGATCATAATCACAAGAAACAAATTTATGTGGGCCAATGATATTCACCTATGTCTATGACTGCAAAGAAAGAAAATATTCCATTAAGCTTTAAACGAATATTACATCAAAGATTTCTACTTATATATTAAAAGATAAAAATAGAGATACCACTTTTTATATATAATTGATTGAAAGGCAATGCTGCCTACTGCTACAAAAAAAAATGGTTGAATGTGAAGAAGAAGATATTATTATTGCTAATATAAAAATATTTTCTTCTAAACTACGAGAGCATCTTCCTCTCCTCTTTTGTACAACAAAAGCTTCTCTGTTTTATAGCTAAAAGCTTAATTCCCTCTTCCCTCTCTATTTCTTCCTCTTCTTCCTATTTACTTGTGGTTGTGGAGTTTTCTTAACACGTTGGAACCATCACCTTATATGGCGCCTAGGGTGGTAGGTAGCTAGCTTTTTATTTAGGTAGATGGTAGTAGGAAAGAAACTTTTATGAGTTTGGTTGAGGAAATTTATCTTCAAACCTACAATCTCCCCCTTCAATATAAATTTTTCTGATGAACCAACTTAGTGTTTGTGGTCTAAGCATCTCTCTGTATGAAACCCCATATTTTCATTCATGGAGGCTAATTAAGACTATGCATAGCCTCAATTTTCCAATGTGAGCATTATCAACAGAGTATTCTAATTCTTTGATTTTGACAGGCTATAAAAAGTCTTCTACAAGTAAGCTACATAAGAAGTGGAACTTAGTTGAAAATGTTTTGTCCGAGGGTAGAATGTAGCATTCTTTGCCTGGTGAATGGCACTTTGATTGTCATAGAAAAGAGAAACATCATCTTCTAATCGCTTGAGTTCTTTGTAGAGAGCCTTTAAGCCAAGCCATCTTGTTGTTGGCTTCAATGACAACTAAATATTTAGCTTCTGTTGTTGATAATACAACTATTTTTTGTAGTTGTGATACCCAACTAATATCAATGCCATGTACCAGTAGTGTTCCTTTGTGTATCTAGGACCTTAAAATTGATATGGAACAGACATATGACAGTATGGGATGACAAACTCTAAGTCAAGTTCTCAAACTCCTTGATTTTTTCTGTCAAGTTTTTGGAATTATTATTGCAAAGTGTTATGGCTCCAAAATTGTGTATTTTGATCAATGGGATTAAATCTGAGTGGATTGAAGCTAAGCGTGGATTTAGAAAAGGATGTCCACTATCCCCTTATCTTTTTATTATGTGCTCTCAAATTTTGTCTAATGCTTTTAACCAAACTGGCGGAAATATGGGAATTCAAATTGCTCCAAATGCTCCCAGAGTTTTTCATTTGCTTTATGCAGATGATATTCTTATCTTTTCAGAAGCCAGCATCAAGAAAGTTATAAAGGTGAAAAATATTTTGACCAAGTATTGCAATTAGTCAGGTCAAAAGGTGAATGACAACAAATCGGTTATTTTATTTGGGAAATATGTCAAGCTCAAAAGGAGGAAAGCCATTGCAAATATATTGCAATTCAAGACTGTTAAAGAAATGTGTTATCTTGGAGTGAAGATAATGTTAAGAAGGATGGTTGGTTCTGATTTCCAAAAGCTTATGGAAGTAGCTTTGAATAAATTAAACACTTGGGGTAAAAATTTTATTTCTTGGAAGGAAGAATGGTGTTGGTAAAATCAACTTTTTTATCTCTTCCTATGTTCTTGTCTACACATTCTTTGGTACCTGTGAGGATTTTGAAAGAATTTGACAAAATGTGTAGAAGGTTCTTATTGAAAAAACAAAACGGCAAAGATGGTATGCATTATGCTTCTTGGAAATTGTTATGCAAACCAAAAGAGAAAGGAGGTCGTGGTTTGTTCTCTGTTGTTTCTAAAGTGGGACCTTTTCGTGCTACATTTCTTTGGAATTTTATCATGGTTCCTGATTCTTTGCTGAACTGTATCTTGAGAGCTAAATACGGTTCAGATATCTGGAATGTATCGGTAAAGAAAGGAAGTTCTACCACTTGGCGAATCTTGTGTAACAGTGCAGCCTATCTTCAGAATATCATAAGATGGAGAGTTTCTAATGGAAATTCCATTAATTGTTTGCATGATACTTGGATATTGGATAAAAATATTTCTAAATGGCCAACGTTTGTAGCTGATTTAGAAAGTATGAATTGTGATCTTGGTTATTTTATTACAAATGGAATTTAGAATGAAAAACTACTTCAAATATTTTTTGGCAAGAGAATTTGGCTTTCATTCAAGATTTCCACCAAGTTTCTTTTAATTTTTCTAGTAGAGGTTGTAATAAATTAGCAAATTGTTGTGCTAATTTTGCTTTGGTTAAAAGTTTTATTTGGAATGATCTTAGTGATGTAGATATTCCCCCTTCTTTCTTGTTTATTTTGAAGGAGTTTGATGCTTTAGATTTGCTTTGAGTAGTTTGTAATAATTTCTTATTTTAATGCAAATGTGCATTTCCTTTTTAAAAAAAAGTAACATATGACCCACTTTACAGCCTTTAAGTGTCCCTTTCTTAGATTTAATATATATCAACTAACAACTCCCATAGCATGTGCAATTTCAGGTCTTATACAAACAATTGCATACATTAAACAGCCATCTACTGATGCATAAGAAGCTTTAGCCATATAATCTCTCTCTTCATCTATCTTTCATAGTTATTCTTTTACGAGCTTGAAGTGACTTGCAAGTGGTGTGCTCACCGTTTTTGCTTTTATAATATTAAATCTACCAAACACATTTCTAATATATTGAGATAATGATAATTTCAAAATACTTGTACCTATATCTCAATCAATTCTCATTCCAAGAACCTTCTTTGCTTCTCTCATGTCTTTTATTT